TAGTGGAGGACTGGGCAGCAGCATTTCATTCGTTCTAGTCTGGTCTACCACCACTCGTCTGTCAGTTTGTCGTACTATGGTGGCTTGCGTGTTGCTGTTGTTCTGGCAGCTATGCCATAGGTATTTTAATTACCAGCAGGGTCACCCACGGTGGACAAGTTTCAGCTAAGCTTCCAGACAAAGATAGACTAGAAGGACAGAATGGACTACTTTAAAATATTTAGTCACTGAAAAACCTTATGAATAGCAGTGGAACACTGTCAGCACCAGAATAATGAATATTAAAACATGATCAGGAGCACCAGAATATTGTCAGATACAGTGCCCAACGATGAGCCAGCCCCTAAGGTTGGATGGCACTCAAAATGCAACTGGGGAAGAGCTAGCTGCCTCCTCAAAGTAGAGCTGACAGTGAAGATATGAATGAAGTAAAGCCTTCAGGACCTTCATTTGCTAATGGGGCACAACTCATAAGGAGGAAAAACCGCTGTAAACATCCATTAATAATTGGAACATGGAATGTATAAGCATGAATCTAAGAAAATTGGAAATTGGTAAAAATGAAATGGAATGCATTTGTTAGCTGAAATGGACTGGTATCGGTCATTTTGAATCTGACAACCACATGGCTTACTATGCCAGGAATGGCTTCACAATTATCAACAAAAAGAACGTTTCAAGATTCATCTTGAAATACAAACTATGATAGGATAATATCGATACACATATAGGGAAGACCAGTTAATATCATTATTATACAAATTTACCCACCAACCACTAAAGCCAGTGATGATGAAATTGAAGAATTCTACCAACTTCTTCAGTCTGAAATTGATAAACATGCAATCAAGATGAATTGAGAATTACTGATGATTAGAAAACAAAGGTTGGAAACAAACAGGAAAATATGGCCTTGGTGATAGAAAAGATGCTGGAGATCACATGATAGAATTTTGCAAGACCAATAACTTCTGCATTGTAAGTAACTTTTTAAAAATATCATAAAAGACAACTGTAGGCATTGACCTTACCAGATGGAATACACAGAAATCAATTTGATGGCATCTGTGGGAAGAGATGGTGGAAAAAGCTCCATAATCATCAGCCAAAAGAACAAGGGCTGGAGCAGAGTGTGGAACAGACCATCAATTGCTCATATGCAAGTTCAGGCTGAAATTGAAGAAAATTAAAACAAGTGTACAAGAGTCAAAATATGACCTTGAATAGATGCTACCTGAATTTAGAGATCATCTCAAGAACAGATTTGATGGATTAGACACTAAAAATTGATGATCAGAAGCGATGTGGGATGACATCAAGAATATGATACAGGAAGAAAGCAAAAGGTCATGAAGATGACAAGAGAGAAGGAAAAGACCAAAATGGATGTCAAAAGAGTCTCTGAAACTTGTTCTCCAGCGTAGAGATGCTAAAGCAAATAGAAGAACTCAGGAGGTACAAGTACTGAACAGAAAATTTCAAAGGTCAGCTCAAGAAGTCAAAGCCAAATATAATGAAATGTGCAAAGACCTAAGAGTTAGAAAACCAATAGGAAAGAACACACTCAGCATTTTTCAAGCTGAAGAAAAATTTCAAGCCTCCTTTTGCGGTACTGAAGGATTCTACGTGCAAAATACTGAATAATGCAAAGGGCATGAAAAGGAAATGGAAAGGATACACAGAGTCACTGTACCAAAAAGAAATGGTCGATGTTCAACCGTTTCAATAGTCAGCATATGATCAAGAGCCAATGATCCTGAAGGAAGAAGTCCCAGGTGTATTGAAGGCATTGGCAAAGAACAAGGCACTAGGAATAGATGCAATACAAACTGAAATCTTTCAAAAAACGGATGCAGCACTGGAGGCACTCACTCATATATACCAAAAAATTTGGAAGACAATTACCTGGCCAACTGACTGGAAGAGATCCATATTTGTGCCCATTCCAAAGAGAGGTGACACAACAGAATGCAGAAATCAAAGGACAATCATAGGCAATCACTGATATGCCATGTGAGTAAAGTTTTACTAAAGATTAATACAAAAATAGCTGCAACCATATATTGACAGAGAAATTCCAAGGCTTAAGCCAGATTCAGAAGAGAAATGAGGGATATCACTGCTAATGTTAGAGGGATCTTGGCTGAAAGCAGAGAATACCAGAAAGATATTTACCTGTGCTTTATTGACTATGCAAGTCTCCGAATGTGTGGATCATGACAAGCTATGGACAACATTGTGGAGAACGAATATTCCAGAACACTTAATTGTACTCAAGAGGAACCTGTACATAGACCAAGAGGCAATTGTTCAAACAGAACAAGGGTACACTGAATGGTTTAAAATTAGGAAATGTGTGCATCAGGGTTGTATTCTTTCACCACACTTCCTCAATCTGTATGATATACCACATAATCTGAGAAGTTGGAAAATGTGGCATCAGGATTGGAGTAAGACTCATTAACAGCCTGCGATATGCAGATGATACAACCTTGCTTGCTGAAAGCAAAGAGGACTTAAAATACTTACTGATGAAGATCAAAGACCACAGCCTTTGGTATGGGTTGTAAAGTAATAAAAAATCCTCACCACTAGACCAATAAACAACATGTATATACATGGAGAAAAGACTGAAGTTGTCAAAGACTTCATTTTGCTCCGATCAACTATTAACATTCATGGAAGTAGCAGTCAAGAAATCAAATGATATATTGTATTAGGCAAATATGCTGTACAAGACCTCTTTAAAGTATTTAAGAGCAAAGATGTCAGTTTGAGGGCTAAGGTGTGCCTAACCCAAGCCATGTTATTTTCACTAACCTCACCTACATGTCAAAGTTGGACAATAAATGAGGAAGACCACAGAAGAATTAATGCATTTGAACTATGGTACTGTAGAAGAATATTCAAAGTACCATGGACTACACCAAAAGAACAAATGAATCTGTGTTGGAAGTAACACAGCTAGAATGCTCCCTGGATGACCAGACCTCGTCTCTCATACGTTGGATATGTATCTGAAGGGACCGGTCCCTGGAAAAGGGTATCATATTTGGTAAAGTGGAGGGTCGGAGAAGAAGAGGAAGACCCCCAATGAGATTGACTGGCACAATGGCAGCAGCAATGGCTCAGGTGTAGCAGTGATTGTTAAGACTGGCCCACGACCAGGCAGTATTTCGTTCTGTTGTACATAGGGTCTCTATAAGTCGGTACTGAATCAATGGTACCTAACAATACCAAGAAGTCTGGCTTTCATCTTCAGGTGATGATGACCCAACTCTTGTATGATAAAAACATCAGGAAAATCAGTCTTCCCCAAAGATTAAGTTGATTAAATCAGAGTTTTCCTTTTTGGCTATTTAGAAACTTGAAGTCATAATATGGAACTTAAGAACTTTATGTTCATAATTCAAGTATAACACTGGAGTTACTTTGCTACTTTTCCCTCTTTGAACCCCTGCAATGTATTAATTCCAGACTGGAGCAGTTGTCCTTCCCACTCAGTGAAGTGTCTATCTTGATCTTTCTGCCTTCGGGTTTACAGCTTTTTAATAAATGATCTCTGGCTTGGTGTAAAATCATGGCACATTAGTACACATTTAGTTTGACATCTTTCATTAGTTCTTCTATAGATTGGTAGTCAGTGTTTTTGATCTTTTCTTTCAGAGCACTAAAGCCCAAAGGGTATTTAATGATCATGCAGAGCAATACAATCAGCCACAGGAAAGGAAAAGAAAGCGCCAGTATCTTTTCTTTGCAACTGTGTCTCATCAGTTATTTCAATGTTTCTTGAAGGTGTGTCTGTTGTACTTGTTTGACTAAAGGGCCATGAGAGGCTTCTTAGGAAGCAAGTTAAGTCTTATAGGAGGTCTTTTAAGCCTCATTCTCCATATGGTTTTGATCTTGCTTCCTTTAATCCTCCTTTGTCTCCATTTTTCTTCCCCTGGAATCTGTTTCTCTCCTTTCTCTCTCTCTCTCTCTTTTTTTTTTTTGCTTTCTATCCTTGTTTATCATGATCATATTTTATCTTCAAAGTGGCCTAAGTATTGTGCCAAACTGCCTATAGAGGAGTCCAGTGATTTCATTCCCTCCCAATCTGAAGACCAGCTTCAAGGGTTTCTCAACGCACTCTTCATAGCCGTGTTTGCCTGACTTGTGCTTCTTGGCCATATCCAACTGGGCCTAGGCCCACTGAGAGACTGGGTAGGCCAAGTGAGCAGAGGGTGGGAGTGGGGTCCTCTTGATGTGAGTGGTGTGAGCCCCCTTTGGAAAAGCTACGTTTAGTATTTTGGGAGAACTGCCAATTTTTTCCCAAAATGGCTGCATCATTTAAAACTCCCATCAGCAATGTATTAGGATTCTAATTTCTGTACATTCTCACCAATATTTGTTATTGTTCGTTTTTTGAACTCTAGCCATTCTAGTGAGTACGCAGTGGTATCTTCTTGTGGTTTTGTTCTGCATTTCTCAAACAGCCAATGATGTTGAGTCATATATGATAGATAAAATGAGGAGGAGAACAAACAAACATGCCCAAACCCTCCAAATTCAGCTGCTGGAATATTTAATTATTCAAAATAGACTGGCTTCATGTATATCTCAGGACTATCACTGCTTTGTTTAAATATGGACTTTAACAATACAGAACATTTATTAGCTTTCTCAGAGATGATGGTCTCATTTTTCTATTCTCTTAGGGCACGGAGGCCAAAATACAATGTTGATAACCTGATATGTATGTCTAGGACCCTTTATTTCTATAGAAAAGTCAGTAAATTTTTACTTGCATGCAAAATTAGAAACAGTACAGCCTACTAAAATTCCCTAAACCCTTTACTTGACATACTCAACTCAGTAACCAGAAGCAAATGATTTTAGCAAAGTGAGGACAGAAAATGGGTCTTACCAGCTTTGTATCCTAAATCCTTGGCTAGTGATTGGCACAAGCAGGTTCTAAAATGTTTTCCCTTAATATTAGGCTGGTGTAGAATCAATCTTACCCGCAAGGGATTTTCATTGAGGTATGGAGGTTCTCCTTCTACCATCTCAATAGCCATAATACCCAGAGACCAAATGTCCACTTTAGGGCCATAAGCTTTCCGTGTAACCACCTCTGGTGCCATCCAGTAAGGCGTCCCAACCATGGTACTTCGCTTGCTTTGCTCAGGAGTGATCTGAGCACAGAAACCAAAGTCAGCTATAAGACAAAAGAAATCGTCTCGATTAATGGACCACTTTGTCAAAAGAGCTCACTTAAAATGACAGAATTTAGCCATATTTTAATTACTCAACTTCTGGCTTTTAAAATACTTTACTAATAAAACAAACAATATTAGGTTTTAAATATCCTGATGATGTTACAGTCTCTCACTTATTAATTTTTACTTCTCACAAGTAGGGTGAAAATTATCAGAAGACCTATTTTTCTAAAGTTTATTATTTTACATAATAAACAATAATAAAATTGAAAGAGTTCCAAAAGAAAATGTCACCAAAATTACCTAAATGAAGTGAAACAGCAAAAGTCAGGAAATGGAAGCTACTTATGAATAAAATAAAGAAGCTAGAATCACTAAGCATCCACTTGGCAGCAAGCCTAGGAAAAGGCTGTATTTAACTGTGATACAGCTACAGAGTCCTAGGTGCACTGACCTACTCCAGCTACCTCAATCTACAGTGGGGAGCAGAGTGTCTAATGGAGGACCCAACAAGAATGCAATGGAAAAGTCAGGATTACAATTTGCAACTTTTGCTTCTCCTGTTTAACCCATTCTATCCCATAGGTAACACAGTTAACCTTTAGGTTTGTATTCTTTAGACTGTCTATTATACATTTACTTATGATGCACAAATAATGCCCAAGAACGGTTTGGTTTATTTTGCCTAAATAGAATGTTTAGTGAACTATCCTTTAAAAAATGAATTTATCTTTAGAAATATTTCAATATTAGTATACTGATCTACCTCAAGTTTATAACTAAAAGATATTACAGGATGTAAAACATCATAATTTAACAAACTATTCGCTCACTAAAGGAGCCCTGGTGGTGCAGTGGGCTAGGTGCTAAACTGCTAACAGCAAAGTTGGCAGTTCAAACCCACCAGCTGTTACTTGGCAGAAAAATGAGGCTTTCTGCTTCTGTAAATATTTACAGCATCGGAACCCTATAAAGAGTTGCTCTGAGTCAGAAGTGACTTGATAGCAATGGCTTCAGTTTTTTTTTGGTTATTCCCCATTTATTACTTACAGCGAAAACAAGCAAGCACTGTTCTCAGGACCTTATATAAAAACGAACATATCTAATGCTCATGATTACCCCAGGAAATGTAAACACACATTATTATTTCCATTTTATGATTGCCTAAAACAGAGGCAAATACATTTTAAAATAACAGATGACTGACGTAATAAATGATAAAGCCAGGTCAAACAGATATCCCCCAAAGTTAAATTCAATTCATTTGTTTCTATTATAAATGTATGAGAATGTGCATCCCCAACTTACACACTACAATTACTTTAAGATGTGGCACTGCAGGATAAAAATGGACTTACACAAGGTCAGTTGTTCAAACCCACCAGCCACTCCTCGGAAATGCTCCCAATGGCACCTTAATAACAGCAATTTTATATTTTGACTACCTAAAAGGATTCCTGGTGTGGCACTGTAGGATCAGCACTGGACTTTGCACAGCAGTGCAAACCCACCAGGTGCTCCTTGGAAACCTTATACAAGGTCGCTATGAGTCGGAACCGACTCTATGGCATACAATAGCAACAACAAGAAAAAGAACCTCTATCACTTGTCTTGTGGAACCTCAGAACAGATGAGAGTGCAGTGTGTCTTTGGACCTGGAGTTCTTGTGTGGAGAAACTCCAAGACCCAAGGGATGATTGATGACAACACACATGGAGCTACCAAGGGACAACAAGCCCATATATGGTGAAAAGAGAGACGGACCTTCCCCTAGACTCAACAGAGACACAGTTTTCACCTAGAGCTGGTGCCTTGAATTTGGACTTCTAGCCTGAAAGAATAAATCTGACTGCTTAGCCATCCACTTGTGGTTTTTCTGTTACAGCAACACTAGATAACAGAAGACTGTTAGAGAAAGTGGTTTATGTGAGAGATTTTTTCCCTAGTCATTTCTGAGGTCAAGGTAGATAGCCCTCCCCCCTGATTAGGCTATGGCCTATAGAATCAAAAGAATGCTGAAGAACAGGATGAAAACATCTAGTCAGACAGGCAGCAGAGACACATTGATCGCTAAAAAATAGCATCATCATTGGGATCATCTCAGGCACTACTTCTCAACATTTCACATTTTTAATCCTCAAAAAATTCTGAGATAGGTACTTGTTATTTCCTTTTCTTGCACATGAGGAAACAGACACAAAGAAATCAACTTACCCAAAATTACTCAGTAAGCAGCGGCAGTTTTGGTAGTTAAACCCAGGCTGTTCATCCTAAGAGTCCATGTTCTTTACTACTACATTCACTCTCCCTCCATACATTATAGCAGGAAACATTAACAGCAGATTGGTTTCATTTCAGTAAACAAAAGGCAGGAAATTATAAGATAAACGTATTATTTGTTCATCTGCTACTCACTAAGTTTAACCGATCCTTCCATCCCCAAAAGCACATTGTCACTTTTGATGTCTCTGTGGATCACTTGATTAGCATGTAAAAACTCCAGTGCCTGTAAACACTGAACAGAAGAAAACACCTATCAGTGAAATAGATCCTGGAAAGTCCAGGTAGGTTCATACTAAATATTTATAGCCTGAAGAAGGCACTCTAATACATATACCTGTTTAAAAAACCTACCTTATTTGTAAAGTTAGGAACTTAAGATGCCGCTTTATCCTCTGACCTTACCCAGATAAATCACTGGAATTACAGTACAACATTGTTAAAGCAAATTTAAAGACTGGGATAGGGGAAGAGGTATGACAGCCTTTTGAGACTCACTGCTTCAGAAACAGGATGACTTATTCATATTATGGAGTCCTGGTGTGGCACTGTAGGATACAGTGTGGTGGTGGTTATGTGCCGTGGAGTCGGCTCCAACTCACAAGCAACGCTGCACAGGGTTTTTGAGGCTGTAAATCTTTACGGGAGAAGAAAGCCTCATTTTTCTCCCAAGGAACAGCTGGTAGTTTTGAACTTCTGACCTTGAGATCAGGAGGCCAACTTATACTGGATTGCTAGCTAATCGCTAGATCAGCAGTTCAAACTTACCAGCCTCTCTTAGAAAGTCCTATACATGGTCACTATGAGTGAGAAACCACTTGATGGCACTTAACAACATTCATATTATGAATATGCAATTTTCCCAAATTCGACTATCTCAAAAGTTGGTTTGAACTGCAAGGTCGGTGGTTCAACCTCACCAGTTGCTCCTTGGAAACCCTATACAGGGTTGCTATGGGTCGGAATCGACTCGATAGCACTTAACAACAACAATGCTGCAATATATAAAGTCTAAATTCAAATGAGCCTATGACCTACTCGTATCTCTGCCACGGATTAATTAAAACCCTACGAATATCAGTCTTCAGTGCTATTATTTTAAAAATGACCAGTGGATCTATATATAATTTCTACACACTTTCAGCATTTTATAAACACAAACAAGCTCTTTGAAATAATTTCAATGATAAAGTATAAGCTTATTATCGAATGATAATAATAATCTGAATTTGAGATAATCAGAAATCTAATTAATTCAAACTATGGGGGGAATGTATAAGATGCTGGGTGGCCTGTTTCTACTCAGCTGGTTATCATTGTGATGAAAGACAATCTTTTCTAATCTGTGGTGGGGGCTGTATGCCACTGAGTCATTTCCGACTCATAGCGACCCTTTATGTTGTTGTTAAGTGCTTTTGAGTTGGTTCTGACCCGTAGCATGATCCTGTATAGGATTTCTGAGGAGCAGTTGGTGAGCCTGAACCACCGACCTTGTGGTTCAAACCAACTTTGCAGTTCAGTGCACTAACCGACAGTACGACATTATATAAAGTTGGTCACCAATGACCACAAAATTACTTTCATCTTATGCTGCATTTCAGAAAGCCCTGAGTTAAAATGTAAGAATGAAGATGAGATTTTTTTTTTTTTATGTGTTTGCCCAAATGAATTCAAATATCAACTGTATGTGTGAATCACAAATTTGGAAAAAGTTAATTGAGCTTTTATTTCTTAATCTTATCAGAGTAGATCAAATAGTCTATCTTTTATAACTAGAAATCTCATTCAAAATACTCAAGGAAAAAAGTTAGATACACTGCATGGCCACATTGTTTCACAGATGTTTAAGCAGATTTATGAAAAATACAATCCCCCCCAAATACCTTTTTTTTCCTCTTTAAAGTTAAAAAAGGAGCTCTGGTAGCGTAGTGGTTATGAATTGGGCTGCGAACCACAAAGTCAGCAGTTTGAAACTCCAGCTGTTCCGCGGGAGAAAGAGGAGGCTTTCTGCTCCCATAAAGATTTACAGCCTCGGAAACCTTGTACAGGATCGCTATGAGTCAGAACCGATTCCACGGCACATAACGACAACAATGTTAAAAAAAACTTACTTTGCCCGCTATGTGCTCCGTGACATTCAGGGCTGTATTTGCAGTAAAGGTAAATCCCCATGTACACATAGCCTCTGTCAGATCTGTATACATTGTGGGTATGCTCCTAGTTTCCCTCCCACACCTGTCCAGTCTGTGTGTCTATCCATGCATCACTGTTACTACGGGACTGTGTCTATAATAGTATTGACCTCTGTTGCCTTAAACTCCTACACAGAAAAACACTTACAAATCAGTAAAAACAATTTATCAAAAATGGTCTGCTGCATGGAAGAAAACCAAAGGTAATGTAATCAGAGAAATTCTCAAATCATGATTAATCTTGATGTTGATTACAAAAACATAATTAGAAAAGCAAAGTAATAATAAATTCTTATTCAGTTTATGTCAGCTTTTAAGTGACCAAGAATTGTTTGTCATGGGATATTGTGATTAAGGTTTTGTGGCAGCTTGGTTGGGTCAGGATACTCAGTGGTTCACTAGTTAAGATGTAGTTATCACCTCACTGCCAAGATGTGATCTAATATGATGCAATCATCTCCAGGATGAGGTCTGATGTCACCAGCTCTGCCCTTATTCCTGGAAGTGGTTTTGGAATTAGATAATGAGGAGAGGCTGAAAGAGTCCTAAACTACCTAATAGTAAAAGCTTAGATTGTCAAGAAGAGACTGTTGGAATTATGGGTGCCAAAGGTGTTCTAATGAGGGCTCAGAAGAGGTGAGAACAGCAACACTGGAGATAGCACAGGAGATGAGAAGCAGTGGCAGAGAAATTGCAGCAGAAGAACCAGGCAACAGACACAAGGTGGCACAGAAGCCAACCCACAAAGTGAGAGGCTTTCTGGCAGTGAGGTGTCTATGGGCACTTGTTGGTGAAGTTAGGCTCACTGATCCACTGATAGAAAAAGCTGAGTACCTTCTGGCCAAGGCTTACATGGTCGAGTGGGGTGCCTGGACCTAGATGCCAAAAGGAGACAAGGACTTTCCCCAGAGCCAACAGAGAGAAGAAAGCCTTCCCCTAGAGCCAGTATTCTGAATTTGGACTTGTGCCTTCCTAAGCTGTGAGAGCATACATTTCTGTTTGTTGACAGTATCCATTGTGGTATTTCTGTTAGAGCAGTACCAGAGAACTAGGACAGATATAATATTCATAACTATTACTCCAGCTAACCCGCATCATCACAACTTTATCAGAAAGGGAGTACACCTACCTCTCTGCACACAGCAGCAATCTGTGCTTCATCCATGCAGGTTTCTGTTACGACATCAGTAAGGGACCCACCAGCCAGGTACTCCATTACCACAAACAATTCATCTCCTACCAGGTAACTAAAAATAGAACACACAAAATACATTCACAGTTCTACTTCTGCTAAATACAGGGTACTCTTTGTTATAGAACTTCACTACCAATGAGCCCTGGTGGCATAGCAGGCTATGTGTTGGGCTGCTAATTGTAAGGTCAGCAGTTCAAATCTACCAGATGCTCTGCAGAAGAATGAGGAAGCTTTCTGCTCCCATAAAGATTTAGTCTCAGAATCCTTATATAGGGTGGCTATGAGTTGGAATTGACTCGATGAAAATGGGTGGTATCTTTGGTAAAAGTCACCAAAATTAGTATTACTGAAGGTTAATAAAGTCAACAAAATTAAAGGACAAGTTTTTTTTTTTAAATGGGAAGCACATGCTATATATAGTGAGACCCCACTTACCAGCAGACATGGTAAAACAACAGACCTCAGGATGAATCAAATGGCTGACAAAAAGCTCTAGGCCACTGCTGATGAAGATACTGGGTCAGGTACCCTGAGCTTAGAGAACATTTACATAGCATTCCAACAGTCCTGTTGCCTGATCATTTAGATGATCAGTAGAAGACTGGAACCAGCTAAGTAGAAGTTGGAAGAATTCCAATACTAGGCACCTTAATAATGAAACTGGTACTTGAAAGCTAGGATGAAAACAGGAAAGCTGCTATCTAACAGTAAAAAAAATAATTGATAATCACTATGATCATCCCAAATCATTTAAAAAGTTAAATTATGCCCACAATTTAAATTTGGGTATTTTACATAAATTGTTTCACTTAAAACAGCCCCATAAAGTAGGCAGTTCTAGTATTGTTTTACAGACGATAGAGGGATTAGTTTGGAGAAGTTAAATAACTCATCTAAGGTCATGTAGCTCTTAAGTGACAGAACCAGAATCTGAAGCCAAGTATGAAGGATTCCAAATCCTAGGCCGATGGCTTCATCTTAACTATCAAATGTACTAACTTAAAATCTGTTTTAAAAAGCAGCAAAAGATCAATTTTAGTGTAAGTCTTTAAGTACTCAAGATAATTTAATTCTATCAACATGATCCCCATAAATAAAAATATTTATTTTTCCATTTTAAACAAATTTAAATATGGAAAAGAGAAAATCACACATAGTCCTCTCTCTGCAATGTAACTGCTGTTGCTGTGACTCATAGCAACCCTGTACAGGGCTCCCGAGGCTATATATCTTTATGGAGCAGAAAGCCTGATCTTTCTCATGTGGAATGGCTTGTGGATTCAAACCACTGACTTTACAGTTAACACATAACCCACTACACATTCTCATGTGCATTTATGTTCTCTTTTTCTTTCACTCATGAGATTACTTTAAAAAGGAACACTGTTGTAATAATATACATAGTTTTCTATTCTACCTTTTATTCTATTTAATAGCAAGTCCTAAGTTATATGAGGTTTTAATATACGTATACTATTTGCCCATGAAGGATTGTATTTGAAATAAAACACTGATTTAACATCTTAAACTCCATGTGGCCAGTCACCTCTCTCAAGTCAAGACAGGTCATTTAATCACAATCAACAATTCCTTGACCTTTCTACTTCTGATCATTTATAGCAAATATAAGTGCCGGCAGCAGTTGTTGTGAAGTGCTGTTGAGTCAATTCCGACTCACTGTGACCCTATATAGGGTTTCCAAGGAGCTCGCTCTGTAGACATCCTTTGTTTCTCGTCTCTCATCTGCCAAATGATATGCAGGCAGAAAAAGGAACTGCTAACACTGTAATGAAAGCGCCCTGGTAGTGTAGTGGATTATGCAAGGTCAGTAGTTTGAAGGCAAGGCTTTCTGTTCCTATAAAGATTTACAACCTTGGAATCCCTATAATGGGTTGCTATGAGATGGAATCAACTTGGTGGCACACAACTACCAACCATACTGCAGTGTGCTATTTTATCTCTCCTTCAGACTTACAGCTTAGAATTGATACTTTGTTCTAGTTTTTTAGCAGTTAACCCCACAAAACCATGAAACCCAAGTTTACATTTTGGAAATATTCATATTTACCTGTCTAAGAAGTTAACTATGTTGGGATTCTTTAATTCTTTCATTACCAGAATCTCATTAATGATCAACTCCTTCTTGGGCTGTTTCTGTAAATTTATCTGTTTGATAGCAACCTGCAATGAAAAAAGAATTATTAAAAATTCAGAACACGTTTTCTAATTCCTTTAGAAAACGATATATACTAATCAGTTAATAATTTAATTACGGTATATGTGGCATATTATGGACTCCTGATGTGGTGCTGTAAGATCAGCACTGGACTGCGAAACACAAGGTCAGCAGTTCAAATCCACCAGTTGCTCCTTGGAAACCCTAAACAGGGTTGTTGAGTTGGAGTCAACTCAATGGCACTTAACAACAACATATCATATTAAACAATGAGACTATAATTCATAGACAGTACACTTTAACTTCCACAGTGCCTATTCTTTGTACTACATAACGTCTAAATACTTTTAGATTTATCTTGAAATTAATTAATCAACCTAAGGTCAGTCCAGTGCCAGGAATTAATCCTCTTACCATTCCAAACTGGTAAAAGGAATTTTTGCATTTAATTATGAAACGAAACTCAATTTCACGTTTGTCCTCCCCCTTAATGAAAGAAGAGTTATAAAACTATACAAAGCATTTCTTAAAGAATATTCAACTTTAAAAAAAAAAAGATGTTTATTATTTGCAGTTTTATCTGGTTCTCTTATACTAAAAACTAACGGTTACACTAAGAAATAGGAAAAATACGGAAAAAGGTTACCTCCTGTCCCAGTGCCACATCAGTAGCAGTGAAAACTGTACCAGAAGCCCTAGGAGGAAAAAGAGAGACAAACGGATTTAAGGTTTCCATAATATCACTATTGTTTATCACATCTAAAGTTTGCACTTACTACTAAAGAATTAAAGAATAATTAAAACTTAAAAAAAAAGAGAAAGGCAATCCTTGTGGCCAAAACATGTTATAAAATTGTCATAAATATTTCATAAATAATAAAAAGGTATAAAGGGAAATATAATATGTACTCAAATATCCACTTCTCAGCTTAGGAATAAAACATTATAACTGTATTTGAAGGTGCCTGTGTGCCCTTTCTGATGGCATTAACCCTCTTCCCAAAGGTAACTTGTCCTTGATCTTTCATCCATTGCTCTGTACACTAATTATACAGAACATAGGTATTATTCCTAAAGAACATCCTGAGCATCATTTTTAATGTCATATAAATGGTTTCATAGGTGTGTATTTTTCTGCAATTTGCTTTTTAATTCAGCATTGCATTTGTGATGATATTCACATGGATAAGTGTTATTCTTGTTTATTTACTATTGTATGAATATGTAAAAATTTATCCATTATCACGCTCATGAATATGAAGATCATTTTCAATTATTTAAATAAAAAAAAAAAATCAATGATGCAAAAGAATTTATTTTTAACAAAGAAATTCTTAAGGATGCTTTCAAAAAAGGTTTAAGATCTTTTTTCAAATTCACAGAACTCTCTTCAGAGACTAATGTTAAAAAATTCAAAATTTTAACTGTCCTTGTCATGGATTGAACTATATTCCTCCTACCCCTAAAATATGTGTCAACTTGGCTAGGCCATGATTCCTAGTATTATGAGGTTGTCTTCTATTTTGTGATCTGATATAACTATCCCTAATTCTGTGATGTGTATGTCCATGAGGCAGTATCAGTGTGAGGTGTGACTAAAGTCAAACTTTTTATCTTACAAGATATAAAGAGATAGAGAAGTGAGCAGAGGTGGAGGGATCTGACTACCATCAAGAAAGAAGAGCCAGGAGGAGAGGGTGTCTGTTGGATCTGGAGTTTCTACACTGAAAACCTCTTAGGGCTAGGCAAAGACTGATGCCAAGACACATAGGGATCTTCAAGGAATGCCGGATCCAATGGCAGTGAAAGGAGATGAGGACCTTCTAAAGCTGGTGCCCTGAATTTGGACTTCTGGCCTCCCCTAAACTGGGAGGTATTTCTGTCATAGCAGCACTAGATAACTCAGACTCAAGCAAGCAAGCCAAAAAAAAAGAAAAAGTTCAATTAGAATAATTTAAAAAATAAAACCCCAACGGATTACTGGAAAAAAGCCAGAGGATCAGCAGAATTAAAGATCAAGATTCAGTGATACAATTAGACTATATTTTCATTAAATATAATCTAGCAGTATACTGTCTTTGAAAAATATTTGGTAGGCAATTTTCCTTTCCAAGAATAAAACTAACTAGTGCAGTTTTTTTTAACAGTATCTAGAAATAACTGCATAATTATTAAATTATACAATCCCCAATGCTGTATTACTATGTTATTTAAATTATCAAGGTCAGTAGGCCACAGAGAAATGTGGTACATCTAGAAGTATTAAATATTGTGGTAATGCAGTCACAAATACTTACCCTTGCCCAATTTTTTCATATCTTGTATACTTTTTCTTGGGGTCACCTATGCTGACAATAGTTCCTGTTTTAAATAACAAAAAAAAATTGGATGCTCAACTAAGTATTTTGAAATTATAAATTTTTATATTACTATTTCTTTTCATAAACTCCACCTGTGTTAGAGCAGTGCTTTTTCAGGCGTAATATTTTTTAAAAATATATTTGAAACAAAATATAACATTTACTATCAGAGATAATATATGAAAAATATCCAAATGAATGATAAACCCTAAATGGTTTTTCCTACTCTTCAAGTATATCCTATATGTTTTCATATTTCACAAACCACTTATTACTGTAAAGATTACTAAAACACAAACGAATCCCACATCTATTTTAGGAGAGTCGATTAAGTCAAGGATAAGTTTTAATATTAGGACTCTAGACATAAAGTCATTGCAATTTACTTTCAATGAATTAGCCATTGAAAACTCTGTAATGCACAGTTCTATCCGGACACACATGGGACTCACTACAAGTGAGAATTAACTGAAAGGCAACTAGTGTGTTGTTAAAGTAATGTTGAATCAGTTTTGACTTATAGTGACCCTGTAAATGGATAGTCCAAGGAGTGGCTGGTAGGTTTGAACAGCTGAGTGCTAATCAAATACCAGAGTAAAAGCAGTTTATATCTGAAAGCAATGAAAAACAAGAGCAAATAAATGCAGAACATGGAAAAGTTCTAAACAATTAATCAATAAAGTGTCTTTCCTTGCTCCCTCTAGGTTAGTGTTCTTTATCTTCAAACTAAAGTTGCAGTATCCTCTCCCTGAAATTATGTACATTATTTCCAATGCTGGATGGAGGCCAAAGATGACAGATTAAAAGGGAGAAGAGAGAAATAATTCTCTCCGGAACAGATTTTATGCCTACACACTTATCTACACATGAATATCGCTGTTTCATTATTTAGGAATATTTTAACTCTTCTTTTGAGAAGCTATAAACCAATCCAAACCAAGCCCAGTGCTGCTGAGTTGATTCTAACTCACAGTGACCAAATGTATTGCCAATGAGTCAATTCTGACCCATAGCAACCCTATACAGGATTTCCGAGACAATAAATCTTTACAGGAGTAGACAGCCTCATCATTTTCCTGAAGAGTGGCAGTTGGGTTTGAGCTGTTAACATTGCCGTTAGCGGCACAATATATAACTCAAAGTGCGACCAGGACTCCTTAAAGTGACACTATTGTTGTTAATTGATTCCAATTCATAACAACCTTGTATAAGGTTTTCAAGGAGTAGCTGGTGGGTATGAACTGCTGACCTGTGGTTAGTAGCCCAATGTTTATCCTACAGTACGACACAAGGATTCCACAGTGACCCTATGATGGTGGTTATGTGCTGTGAAATTGGTCCTGATTCACATCAACTCTGTATAACAGGGTTTCCAAGGCTATAAATCTTTGGGAGAAGAAAGACTCATCTTTCTCCTGTGGAGTGGCTGGTAGATTCAAACTGTTGACTTTGTGGTTAGCAGACCAACTCATAACCCACTAGCAACCCTGTGTTGTTGTTAAGTGCCATCGAGTCGGTTTTGACTCATAGTAACCCAAGCTTCCAAGGAGCAACGAGTGAGTTTGAACTGCCAACCTTGTAATTCAAACCGATCTTGTGCTCTAATGTTTATCCTACAGCGCCACACCAAGATGCCACAGCAACCCTGTAAGCAGGCATGTTGTTGATTTAAGTGCTGTTTAGTCGACTGCAGCCCATAGTGACCCGGTATACGGTTTCCGAAGAGCAGCTGGTGAAATGGAACTGCCGACCTTGTGGTTCAAAATGACTTTGCAGTCCAGTGAATTAATCCAGCACCGCAACAGGATTCCATAGGCAGGCACAAATATATACAAATCTCTTCTTTTAATAATTTCAACGACTGTTCTCAGTGGAAAAGTATGGCTCCCACAGATAACTAATCCCTGCAGAGACATGCTCATTAGCCAACACATGCTATCTTTCAAATGGAGCACTGAACAAGCAAAGAAGAGCATCATTTTGAGTTCACTAGATTTTAGTTGAAGTAATGGTTCCTATAAAAGATCAACTTACTATTACTATTTTAACAATTTATTCTTTGTGTATTAAGCCAACACATATAGTATGAATCAAAATCTATTTGGGCCAAATGTTGTAAGAGCTGCTGACACTTTACAAATGCACAAAATGTAGTAAACATACTTAATTTCTCTGTAATCTCTTCGTCTGACATCTTGGTCTTCTTTTTTTGTTTGTCTGAAGACTTGGCACCACTGTCAACACTGGAATCACCAACTGGTGCAGGAATAGGGTCAATGACAGAGCGTGTATAAATCTGCAGAAAGAGTTGAGGGAAAACATTTAAAGATATGCTTACTGGGAAATTACTTACTGAGTTCTTTGATTTCTTAAACCAAACTTAGTTGTGTTGACACTGTTTTACAGAAGTAGAATATTTTTGGACTATAAAAGATCTGTAACTAAGAAGAATAAATATGAAGCACTTTCCCTTCAGTACATCATACAGTACAATATGGTAACAATGTAGCAAAAAGTTTAAAAATCACTTTTATACTACATAAGAGAAATTCGTTTCCATACAAATATCTTGTCTACCATTTCATTTTCAGTCAGGCTACAGGGTAAAGACGAGAGAGAGCCCTCTGTCTTTAAATCACAATCCAGTGCAGTCCTCAAAGTCTTAGTTGTCAGCCATGCTGCCATTGCCTCACACTCCACAGCACAGAACCCGCCAGGTACTGGACTAGTGCTAGTGCAGGGGAAAGGACGGGACTTGCACGAGTTCCTCTCCTCTGCATCCATCTATGGTCAGGATTGCTAAACATCTCCCACAGCTGTTTAGGAATTTCACTCTCATCAGCCTCTTGAATGATAATCAAGGCTCTGAGAGAAATGTAAAATGTAAAACATCGTTTGGGTAAACGACAAGATCCAAGTGTTAGATATAATAGCTAGTTGCACTGAGGTAAACAGAGAAAGCAAGAAAAATGGATGAACTTTCAGGAAGAGAAGGTGTAACGTAGAAGAAACAATTTTCCATAAGAACCTATTTGATTCCTACTTTTACAAAAAATTTTTTTTTCAGTCTTGAAAGCTTTTTTTAAGAAAAAAAAAAAAACTTTTTAAAATTACGAATTGGGTGAAGATTTACAGAGTATATCAATAGTTTTACATTCAACAATTCATACAAATTTTGTTCTATCTCATTCATTGCAATCCTTTCAATGTAACATCATTTTCCCCACTTCCTCCTTGTGTTTTTCTTCTTCCATTTCTCCTTTTTTCCTAACCCCTCTCAATTCTGTCCTTAGGTACATGCTGCCTTTTTGATCTTAAGTGGTTGATTATTCTAAGGAATGCATACCTTCCTAGTGTTACTGTTACCATTACAGAATTGTTCATTATTCGAAAATTGAGCAATGGGGTAAATTCAGTTCTAGACCTGAAGGGTGACTAATAGCCATACTAATAATCTCAGGATTCCACCAAAAAACTAATTTTTGATGAGAGGTCTAGAAGTAAAGATCTCCTAAGTAAATTTCATGATACAAAAATATTTTAAGTCTGGGGGATTAAAAAAGATAATCATTAGAAATAATCTAATGTCAAATATAGTTGACAACTTTCAAACACACACGCACAAATACAGCCAATTCACTGATGACATACTCACTGATTTCGTATGATCTGGCCGTGGGGCAATAACAGGAGGAGCAGCCTCTTCATCATCATCGTCTTCCTCTGCTACTGCTGCAGATGTGTCTGAAACCTTTGTATTCAGCTACATTTATCATATGATCAAAGTAAGGAAGACAAGTTAAATAAAAGTAAAATAGTAAGTTAAAATACGCTAGCTATTTATTAAGCATACTAGAGAAAATGGATTTAACAGCTCATTCCAACATGGCAAATCCTCACTAGATTTAATCTAATTATTTTAAAAGTAAAGCCTATCTTATATAAGAGTTATGGTAAAATAAATTATTAAATGCCAGATACATGCTAGTTAGAGATTTCATATGTTGTCTCATTCAATCCTTATACAACTCTAGAAGACCGTTTCCTTCTGATAAGTATAAAACATGACTTTTTCCAGAAGGCTACTGGACTCACAGGATACTCTAGAGATGGTTTCAGACAACTTTGAAAACTGGTAACTTTCCACTGTCCAGCGTGTTTCTGTCATCCACACTCAATAGAATGGTACCAGAAGGAAGATGGGGAAGGAAGAATAGGAACATGCTATCAAGTTCTTTGTACATACCTTAAGTAGCTAAATTGCTTTCAAGTCATTATATATTTTAGTTAAAGTATCTTTATCAAAGTAACAGATACGGCTTTTTCAACTAATCAAGCTATTAGCTAAATACACAGAGACTTAAAAATGTTCATGGAAAATGGAATTAATTATAATGGAATTTTTCTATGAACTTGTTGAAGCCTCCCTTGCATACTAAGTAATTACTAATTTCTAATGGCTACAATTTATTTTAGGGAGTAACAAAAACAGAAGTTTAGGGAAACTTAAATCAAAATCTACAAGAACACATTAACTTACTGCTGGTGCTCCGGAGGGGAAACCATCTTTCTCTGAATACGAAACAGAAAATAATACTTAAATTAATTTAAGAAATAAAGCTACTTCTATATAACCAAAGAAAAGCAAAGCAGAGCAAATAAAATTGTTCTTAGACTGATTTCATTTTTTCTTTAAGTTTTTATTGTGAACTGAGTGATAGTTTACATAGGAGAGCATCAGCTATACATTCACCCTACCGTATTTTGTTTCATTGCAATGATTATAATTCCCTCCATGCATCATCAAACAATCAAAAGGTACACCGCCCCCGCAAGCCTGATCCCTGGTTGTCAGCACACAGCCCCTTCTCCCTCCCTGAGTCCAGAGTCCCCAGTGGTTCCATTTCTTCACGTCATCATTTCTGCCTCCATCTCTGGTGTCACTAATTATCTGGATAGGGTTCCGCACTCCACTCTTCTCACTTGATGGTCCTAGGGACCGCCGCTCCTGGACTGCAAAATCAACCACTCCCCTCCTTTTGTATAAAACATTTACCTTTACATTTCTGACCCTCACAGTCAGTCCTGGTAGAAATTATTCACTATTGAACCACAAGAGTCTTATTCTCATCTCCTTTCACCAGCCCCATCAGACAAGTTGGAAACCACTCAGTGGAGATTCCACCTTCCCCCGCACCCTCTGAAACTAGGCTCCCTCTTGAAAGCTTGTAAGCCAGTCATTTCGTGCCTTTGTAGCTCCCCTGCTCCCCATTTTGGGTAGCCAATGCCTAAGTTGCCAATCCCTATCAACCTTAAGTACCGAAGGGGTGGGAATGATCCTCGCTGTAAAGATTTGTTCCCTCTTTTGAGCTACTACATCCATAAGTATAGGTCAAGTTCATCTAATTTTAACGGATTACTCTTTTTTTTCCTCTAATCGAGTTCTGATCATCCAGCCATTGAAGCCAGGTCAAATGGGTACTGTCTGCAAGTATGGGTGTTCTTCTGCATCTCCCCTCACTTCATATCAGCTGGACACTTCACTTCCCACTCTAATCCTCTGTGGCCATATCCCTGTCCCCAGGTCTCTCCATACTGCTGGGCAACCAGGTCTCAACCCAAGTTGACAGGAGTCTATTGAATGTGGTCGCACTTAGCTCACAACTTCATTGCTGTTTTTCCCCTAGTTTTCCTTATCAGTAGACCAGCGTCAGCAGCATATGTCTGCTCATGCTTGAGTCTCAGTCTTGGAAGGGTTTGTCCTGAGGGGACCCAACCACTTGCCTTGATGTCTCCTGAGTGAGCAACTTGCTTGTTCTTGTAGTAATCAGTCAACTGCCTATATTGTTCTATATTTTTCCTGTCGGTCTTTCTTTTAAGAAGTATCTTCTGTTCTTCTAGCCGCTCCAGGCTGGTCTGCTTGTCCTTTTAAGTGGGAATTTCCCACTTCAGAAGATTCTAGATGGGGTTCAGGATTCCACCTATGGTCTTACGCAATGCAGAGGCTCCAAAGAAAGCCTCCTTCACCGGGGCAAGTTATAGTCCCAGTTTAGGTATTCTAATCAGTTATACGCAGAAGACAGACTTACAAGTTTTGTATGGTGGTGTATCTGTCTATTCCTTTATCTCCCCCTCAAATATAGACTGCTTATTTCATTTTAAGTAAAATTAAGTCTTGAGAAAAATGATTATATCAGTGTTCAATCAAGAATAATTTATACAAGACCAAGGGCTATGGATCTCTGTAAATTTACTAAAAATCATTGAAGGAAACACTTAAAATGGGTGAATTTTACGGCATGAAAATTATACCTTTTTTAAAAAGCACCTGTCAATCTGTAGGTATTAAAACATAACAGAAGTTTATTCATAAAAATACATTCTCCAAAAAAAACTGTCTATTAAGGAATGTAAAGCATTAAAAAATGGCAACTACAAAATAAAAATTTCTCACATAAATTTTGGTCAAGAAAAAAGCAAATCCTTAAAGGCAGTTGTTAAATGCCATTGAATAGGTACCGAGGAGTGGCAGCTGGTGGTCTGAACCACCAAAATTGTGGTTAGTAGTCCAGTGTTTATCTTATAGCGCCACATCAGGATGACTAAATGCTAAAATATAAAGAACAAGTTTTGTTTTGTTTTAAAATGTCCAGGGACTTTAATACATATACTGGATGAAAAACACCAAAACCTAATTTCTGCCAGGTCCATTCCAATTCACAGCAACCCTAAAAGACTAAGCAGGACTACCCCACACACACAGGGTTACCAAGGCTGCACTCTGTATGGAAGCTGACTACCACATCTTTCTCGCAGGGAGGACCTGATGGGTTTTAACTGTTGCTCTTTTGGCTAGCAGCCAAATGCTTCACCACTGGCAAAGGGGCTCCTGATTAATGAAAATAATTTATTTCTTAGACAAATACTAATTTAAAAAAGCCTTACCAATTTCTGCAGACTTCCTATTTGACACAGAAATCCCAGAGAAAAGTTTCATCTTAAGAGTGTACCAGACTAACTAAAGGATTGTGTTTTTCAATCTACCCAGCAAGGAAGAAAGGCCTGGTAATCTGCATCCATAAGGATTACAGCTAAGAACCCTTGTGGAACAATCTACTCTGTAAAACACACAGTCACCACAAATCAAAATGGACTTGATAGCAATACATTCAGCTTGGGTTTGGTAACGTCTAGACTTTATTTCTGGTCCTGACTAGATTAAAAAAAAAAAAAAAAAATCAATTATGAGGTATAACTCTCTTTAGGTTCTACTACTTACTTGATACATTTATATATTTGATGCGCTTCAATTTTTAAATGGACGTAAACATTTTCTATTTCAAAGTCTTTATGTAGTAAAACACCCTCGTTCCTGTCTAACAATCTATTTATACTATTATAAGACAGAATTCTTTCCTTCTGTCTCTAGAAGTCACTCAAATGCAACAGGGAGATAGGAAGGGAATCAAAGGTCAAAACATTTATGAACTTCACTATTTGCAAAACTAGGAAGTTAGTATAATCCCCAGATTTTAAATTATGCACAAGAGCTAGCTCCCAATCCTTTTACAAATGGGACATGCAGGGGAAAACAAAAGGCGCAGTTTAGCTTTCTAGAAATAACCTTTCTATCTAGAAGCACCTCACAACTCTGGAATGTCATTCTAATCACCCTTTCACCATTATCTGATGGCTTACCAGGAGGAGTAAAGCTCAGGTATTTCTGCTTCACTGTGTTGGAGTCGTAGAACTTTAAGACGTCCAGCACAGCCTGAGGATTCTTCTTTTGCTCTAGTTTAGTGATATTGGAGGTCTGTAGTAATCGAGCCCACTGTTCTGGCATGCCCTAAGAAAAAGATATGCAGAAACTAGTATTTGTTTGTTTTTTAATTGTTCTGATAAAATCAATTTCCACAGATAAATGACCAAATACAAAAGAAAAATCAATGCATACAATTTTAAGCTTAATTAAATCCTAAAAGGTTTTTTTCCCTAAAGGCTATTTTGCATAATTATAATGAATAGGCTCAGATTCCCTAAGAAAAAAAAGTATATTAAACCTTAGATTCACTAAGAAAAAATACACATCCAACCACATTTCATAAAAAAAGCAGGAAGAAGGATTCAATCAACATATAAATAGAAAAGGTAACTTCAAAGTCAGTAAAAAAGGGGAAGGTTTGAGAACTCACAAATGAGCCCCAATTAGGTAAACTTACAGTGAATTCTCCAGTAACAGCATCAAAGCCAACATGGATGGTGTGCTCAAAATCAGATGGAGGAGAAATTTCTGGCCTTTCCTTTTCTTTCTTCTTACTTCCTAGAGAATATTTTTTTAAAAGTCAGCCTATTCAAATAACATTAAACCAGACATAAAGGTACTCATAAACGGATTAGAAACAAAGTTATTTTTGAAAAGAGATTTCATCTAAAAATGCTGGCTGATAGGAAATTAGCTAAGCCTATGAGGTACAGAAGTTCTACACCAAGTTAGGGAAGGACAAGGAACTACACAGCATCCCATTTTTTTTAAAAAAAGCCTCAGAAATCCTATACAGGGTCACTATGTTTCAGAATCAACTCTAAAGAAAAAAAAAATTTTTTTTTTAATTGCTCTAACATTTTCATCCAGAGAGTAAAGTTTACATTGCTGTTGAGCTGTTTAGGATTCATAGTGACTCTATGTACCCAAGAATAAAATATTGCCCAATCTTGTGCCATCCTCACACTCATTGCTGTGTGAAACCATTGTTGTAGCCACAGTATCAATTTATCTTGTTGAGGGTTTTCCTCTTTTTTGCTGATGCTTACACTTTATGAAGCATGATGTCTTTCTCCAAAGACTGGTCCCTCTTGATAACATGTCCAAAGAGCCTTAAGACATGATGAGGAAGTACTTAGTGGCTAACTGAAAGGTCTTTATGGTTTTCTCTTTTCTTGATTTGCTATGAAAGTGTATCAGTATTCCTTGAGGTTATCTATAATTTATTAATTTCTTCTCCAGTTTAAAGTAGTCTGTTTCATTGCAAAATCTATTAGACTTCCTTGTCATTTAGAAGTTTTGTAACTACAATTTTTCCTCTTTCTGCTTTGTAGTTGTCTTCATTATAAATTGGTATCTATGGTTCCCTATTTCAGTCTTGTAGGTTTGTTTAACTTTGGATATTTCTATATCTGGAAATGTTATAACAAAATGTGCAAAGACCTGGAGTTAGAAAACCAAAAGGGAAGAACATGCTCAGTATTCCTCAAGCTGAGGGAACTGAAATAAAAAATGAAGTCTTGACTTGCAATTTTGAAGGATTCTATGGGCAAAATAGAAAATGATGCACAAAGCATCAAAAGAAGATGGAAGGAATAGACAAAGTCACTGTATCAAAAAAGAAAGGGTTGATGTTGAGCCATTTTAAGAAGTAGCATATGATCAAGAGCCAATGATCCTGTAGGAACAAAGTCCAAGTTGCAGTGAAGGCATTGGCAAAGAACAAGCCTCTGAGAATTGATGGAATACAAATAGAAATCTTTCAACAAACTGATGAAACACTGAAGGCACTCACTCATCTATGCCAAAAATCTGGAAGAGAGCTACCTGGCCAACCGATTGGAAGAAAACCTTATTCATGCCCATTCCAAAGAGAGGTGACACAACAAAATGCAGAAATCACCAACAATATCATTAATATTCCATGCAAAGTAAAATTCTGAAGATTATTTAAAAACAATTGCAACAGGACACTGACAGGGAACTGCCAGAAGTTCAAGCCAGATTCAGACAAGGACACGGAACAAAAGGTACATTGCTGACATTAGACGGATCTTGGCTGAAAGCCGAGAACACCGGAAAGATAGTTACCTTTGCTTTACTGACTATGCAAAAGCTTTTCACTGTGTGGATCATGCCAATTTAGGGATAACATTGCAAATAACTGGTATCCTGGAACACTTAATTGTGATCATGAGGAACCTGTACATAGACCAAGAGGCAGCTGTTTGAACAGAATAAGGAGGCACTGAATGATCTAAAATGAAGGAAGGTATGCACCAAGGTTATATCCTTTCACCATACTTATTCAACCTGCCATCTGAAGAAATCATCTGAGAAGATGAAGAAGAATGTGCCAACAACCTGCAATACACAGATGACACAACTGTGCTTGCTGAAAGCGAAGACTTTAAAATGCTTAAATGAAGCATTTCTACAGCTTTCTGTATGAGTTAAACCTCAATGTAAAGAATACACAGATCCTCGCTGATGGAACAATAAATAACATCAGGATAAATGAAGAAAAGATTGACGTCAAGGATTTAATTTTGCTTGAATCCACCATCAACATTCATGGAAGCAGCAGTCAAGAAATTGAATGACATATATTGTATTGGGCAAATCTATTACAGAAGGCCTTTTAAAAGTATTCAAGGGCCAGGGTGGAGGTGCAGTGAAGTTCGCCGTCAGCCATACCACAGAATACCAGACAAAACAAACCAGGAAAGAGCTCCAAAACTCAGAACCACATAGCTAGGAATATTTTAAAAGTTTGAAGGCTTATAGCTACTGGAACTTGAAGCTGAAGTAAGAAATTGCATACTTTTGAATCTGCCGGGCTTGGAGTCCCAGAGCTGACATCTTGGGGGAGACCAAGAGGGGGAGCAGAAACAGCATGGAAAAACACCATGGGAAACTTGAAGCAAAAGTGGACAATACACTTTCTCGGTTTTGCTTTGTTCTGATTCCTTTTTTTTTTTGGTATCTGGTCATTGGCCTCCCCCACTGTTTGTGCACCTCCATTCTGGTGATTAGAGGGGGTGCCTGAGCGAGTGGACGCTCCCCACCCCCACCAATGGTGGATTCTTCTGCCATGCATGCACACAGATACTCAGCCAAAGAGCAGGCCCTGAATTTTTTTTTTTTTAAATACGGGAAAAGCCAGGACAAGGTTGTATAGAGGTAAAGAGAGTTTAAAAACAAAACAGGCCAAAAATTAAATTAAAGCCTGAGGTATAGCATAACAACCAACACTGGCATCTTGAAATCTCTCAGGCATCTTTGAAAGCAAGAAGCTGAAGACAGGACATTAATTAAAATCATACTCATATTTTATTGTTGTTAAGTGCCATTGAGTTGGTTCCGACCCATAGCGACCCTATCTATACAGGGTTTCCGAGGCTATAAATCTTTACAGGAGCAGAAAGCCTCATCGTTCTCCTGTGGAGCAGCTGGTAGTTTGGAACTGCTGACCTTAAGGTTAGCAGCCCAATTCGTAACCACTACGATACCAGAGCTCCTTATTCATATTACGTTACAGAATTTAAAAAAAAAAATTTTTTTTTTTCCTTCTCTCCCTCCTCTCCCTGTTCTGTGATTACAGACTGCAGGATTCAGTCTAGTTTTGTTTTTGTTTTGGATTCTTTTTTTTTTTTTGGTAGTGCTGTTTTATCATCCTCCTTCTACCTTTGGAGGACTCTTTCTCTCCCTATATTAGCCAAGAAGAGTCAGCAACTGTTGCCATATAGCCAAGCTACATA